TATAAAAACATGAGGAAAAAACATATCAGTGAATGAGGACGGCCAGAGGTGCAGCATCAGGAAGGGCAAATGACAATAAACCATATTTGTGGGAGAAGGATAATAGAAGCAATAGAAAGGTGGAGCCAAGGTAAGCCAGTGTTGTGTGTGACAAATGAGAACAGTGATTGTCAGTCAATGATATTTCAAGAAAGCTTTCAAAGGGTCAAAAGCTGTAGTTTGGCTATATTAAAAAGCTTCCGGTATGTCAACAGGATTATGTTTTATGCATTGTAGTGTTTTGTGAGTGTATCATGTTATATAATGCATTCAATACCACAGATGAGTGTTGTATACACCACTTAACATATCAATAGAGATCCATAACTATTGTAGACTAGCAAGATTCTGTATGTAGCAGTACTCTACATGCTAAAATCTCTAAAGTGAGTAGCCACAGTATTTGGTAGCTAAGATTGGATAGGCTGGATATGTATGCAGTGTGGTAAAGTGATGCAAGATTGGCTGGATGGATGTACAGAACAAACAAGACCAGCCTCATGAGCTATTGATGTGGGTTGAGTGTGGTGTGGTCTAATAGTGGATAGGTGGCCAGAGTATTTTGTAGATCATGATTAGATAGGCTGGATATGGTGGTAGTGTGTCAGGATAGTGCAAGTCTGACCAGAGTAATGTATGGAACAAAAACTGGCCTGATGTGTTATATATGTGGCAATGTAGTATAATAGTGCATGAGCAAGTGGAGTATCCCATAGATCCAGACCAGACTGTCCAGATATGCCATAGATGTGCTTGGAGGGTGGTATACTTGCACAAAACTGGATGGACTAATAAAAGACCGGCCTGATATGCCACAAATCTGCATGTAGTACAATATAATAGTGTAGAGTCTGCTTGCAGAATAGCTGGAAGTTTATCCATGATTTAGTAGACTGTTTTATGCCATTGCTGAAATAACCGGCCTCATGACACAACTAAACTGTTGTTGCTGGTATATCTGGACCATTGCTGCCAAGATAACCGGCCTGCTTTTACTGGCATAACCAGTGTAATGCTTCCATAAAAGCTGCAGCACTTCCATTGATGTAACCGGCCTATTGCTACTGAAATAACCAGAGTATTGTGACTGTAATGGCCAGATCATTGCAGCTAAGACAACCAGAGCATTGCAGCTGCAATAATTACTGGGGCTAAAATAACTGGGGCATTATAGCTAGGATAGCCAGAAGATTATAGTTGCAATGGCTGGACCATTGTAGCTGAAATAACCGGAGCACCATAGCTACAATCATTGCAGTATTGTGGCTGCAGTGGCTGCAGTATTATGAGTGAGATAACCGGAGCATTTTACCTGCAGTAACCATAGTATTATGGCTGCAGTGGCCAGAGTATTGTGGCTGAAATGACTGGAGTGTTATACCTGTAATAACTGGAGTGTTAAACCTGCAATAGCTGCAGTATTGTGGTTGCAGTGGCCAGAGTATTGTGGCTGAAATAACTGGAGTGTTGGACCTGTAATAACTGGAGTGTTAGACTTGCAGTAACTGCAGTATTGTGGTTGCAGTGGCCGGAGTATTGTGGCTGAAATAACCGGAGTGTTAGACCTGTAATAACTGGAGTGTCATACCTGCAATAGCTGCAGTATTGTGGCTGCAGTGGCTGGAGTATTATGGCTGAAATAACCAGAGCATTGTAGCTACGGTAACCAAATTATTATACCTGCAGTAACTACAGTATTGTGGCTGCAGTGGCCGGAGTATTGTGGCTGAAATAACCAGAGTGGTAGACCTGCAATAGCACCAGTGTTATGGCTGCAGTGGCCGGAGTATTTGGCTGGAATAACTGGAGTGTCATACCTGCAATAGCTGCAGTATTGTGGCTGAAGTGGCTGGAGTATTATGGCTGAAATGACTGCAGCATTGTGGCTGCAGTGGCCGGAGTATTATGGCTGAAATACCCAGAGTATTGTAGCTAAAATAACCGGAGCATTACAGCTACAACAACTGGAGCAGGATGACTTCAATAACCAGAGTGTTGTAGCCACAATGGCCAGAGCATTATACCTGAAATGGCTGGAGCATTGTGGCTAAAATAACCAGAGCATTATGCCTGCAATGGCCGGAGCATTGTATTTGTACCTGCAATACTCGGACCATTATACCTCCAATAACAGGAGCACTGTAGCTGCAATAACAGGAGCATTATAGCTAAAAATACTGGACTATTATTGACATTCTAAATGCACAAGGCAGGCGGCCGCCCTGACACACACCTGGGGTATGGGCCAGAGCATCCCCTACCAGTTACCCAACCCCTACAGTGAGGCAGCCGCCAGGACATGGTCGGTCAACTGCCGGTCACCGCTGCCCTGACATCCTCGGGTTTTTGACCCATCCGCTGACTGGACATCCTCA